CGCATCTCGGAGGTATACTCAAATAATTATTATTTCCCAAAATACCCATATGCAATGGCAAAGTTACTAATTCATTCATATTATGCAGTGTAATAGTATTCAATTCAAAATTTATGTTACAATTAAATTTACGTAAAAAATCTATACCTAAAATTCCAGAAGTTTCACACGGCAACTGCTTTATAACATGAAACTTATTATTAAATTTCAGCCCGTCAACAGACAATGTTAAATCAACAAATCCCACGGTTCGTAATTTGCCTCCAATTCCGTTTATTGTAATCGGTTTCTTTTGTAATGAAATGTTTAGTTTACTAAGCGTGTCATATTTAATCACACATAAAGAAGCGCCGGTATCTACGAGCCATCTACATTTGATACCATCTATTGCTAACTCAACACAATTACTATATTCGCAACTAAATATATTATTGGTCTCGAAAAAATTCTAGGTTATTTTCACTATTATCGTTATTAGGGTTAATTTCAATATTTTGAGAACTTTGCGATACGCGATATTCTGGTGTTATAAAATGAACTCGCTGGGCATTTTGACCACGAAAAGATCCGCGATTCTGGTATGAGTACTCACCATAATTACCTTTTTTCCCGCGGTGTTGTTGATTTCCACACGAAAACTTTTGGGGTACCGGTTTCCTCCAATTCACATTATTTTTTGCTTGGGTATGCCAAGGATATGTTTGTCGTGGTACATTATTGGATGTATACCTACCACGAAAATTTTTACGCGTTCCTGAACCACCTCGATTTCCGAAATAAATCGATGGTTCGGTGTACTCGCTAGGTCGAACACTAGATGTCTCCTCATCCTTTGCAGCTCTAATTGTTTCTTTTAACGTACTATAATTGCGTGCTGACAAAATAATACTGAGTTGTCGGTTTCGCAAGCCATTTGTGAAACTTTTAATAGCGACCTTTTCATTTATAGGACGTAAAATTTTATGCGCGTTTTGGTCACCATCGGCTTGGGAAATCGTCAAATCTACGAATAATTGTTCGATTTTATTGCCATAATTATCTAGGGAACTACTATTTTGTCTTATTTGCATTAGTTCGTTATGAATGGAAGTGTAAGATTTCTTTGTTAAAAGGTGGTTCCGCATATCACTTATAAGCGCCTCGCATGAGTCATAGGAATCTAATAGGCGTAACTTAGCACCTTCATTCAAACGAGTCTTTAACACAAATTTTATTAACATAGACTTACCTTCTTCTTTAAGCGAAGAGCTATATAACTCTATCGAGTCCATCAAGGTTTTGGTGACCGATTCCTCGCCCGTCATCACTGGCAGGAGTGACACAGCAGTTTTAAAGTCGAAACTTTCCATGGTGAATATTTCGCTTTGAATAGTGCCCTTGGAAGTTGATTGAGAGCTGTAATCCTTACTACAAAAGTTTTCTATTTGTCCATATAAACTCTTAATTAAATCGCAATATGATTGTATTTCAATTAATGCATTACTTTTAATTTGTTTACTTTCTATCTCTTTATTTAAAATTATCAAACAATCATCAAATTCTTTACGTAATTGTACTGATTCCTTAAGTTTTTGTTGCAAAATGCTTTTAGTTCGCTTATCATAACTTAATTTAACTAAATTATTTTTAATATTTTTAAATTTTTCATATATTATTATTAATTCACTAGACATGGAAGTACAGTTAAAAAGAAATATCGTTGTCAAAATATTTTAAGGTTTAAGGCATACATATAAGGCTATTTTTATTTTTTTTTTCCCTTTTTTTTTTTTAAACTTAAACTATAACATATTTTTCAATTTAAACCTCATTTTTTCAACTTGACGCTTTCGTTGTCTCCCGGCGGTCCTCATGGCGGCACTCACAGCATACACGGGGTACACGAGGTCCTGGGTCCGGTGATCGCACAAAAGAACGACGCAAATTGTGCATTACCATCTCATTCCGCATCCAGCTTGTATGGCAACTTTTGTATATTTTGTATACACCATAGAGAAGAGCCAAGCCCAAAACTGTGCATATTATAATCAGCACGACGGATATCCCAGACAGGTGGCTTTTAATTTCTTCTACATGTGCAGAATTTGAGCCTCCTGAAGTGTCTTGCGTAATAAATACTTGGTCTTTCTTGACTTCAGAACGACACATTTTTTTTTTTTTAAAACGCGGCCCGCGACCGAACCCAGGCAGACCGCCGATGAACTGGCAAGGTCGCCATGTAGTGTTGGGTGGTTCGGGGAATAAATAAAACGTCCAATAGTCTAGACGGTAGGTTTAATACTAACTCTCTCTTATTCTATCCTACATATATATAAGCACACAGTACAATTCGCTATTAGTGCTTGCTGTGAGTCGAATCGAGCCGCGTGGTTGCCTATAGCGCCGAATTTGTTAACGGATTTGGGCGGCGACGAATAATTGTGTAGTCTAGAACATTATGCGCCAGGTTGGCTAATTATTGAGAGGATAGTGTTTAATTGTACCGTTGCGTTAAGCGCCTTAAAAGGAAGCGTTCAGTTTTCGAAGTAGTTTGTTGCCACGTGAAACGGAAGTGACCTTTGATCCGACCATTCGGTATTCGTGCCATGTTTTACGTGTTTTTACTTTCATGTTTTACGACTTCAACGGTCCAGTCAGGTCAACCACAATACACACCACTAAAATACCACTATACATGCACCTACACATCTTCGGCCTGACCGAACCTTGGAATAGTCTTCACCTCAGATCCAGGTACGTACTATTTATTTTCCTAGCCTTCTCCCTAGAGTGTAATAGGATAGGACATTTGTCCATAAGGCCACTTGGGCCCGAACCCTCGGCTGCCCGTTGACGAGGCTACTATGGGCCCTAGCCAAGGCGATCTTTGCAGGGGCAGCTGTGAGCCGTAACATTTATGCTCCCGAGGAGCCCCAATAGAGCGCGAGCGGCTAACAGTCGCCACACGGAACCCGAATCCATTGTAGGCTACTTTCCTACATTATATACACACGCATATAACTACACAGATACATACGCACATATTTCTCACACTCAACATAATATATATACTTTTACACGCCACTATATACTCTCAACAAAAATGCACGTAGCAACAGCCGGGCGTTGAACGCGCCGCCCGGAATCCCGTTAGCACAGCTGTTTAAAAACAATCGCCTGCGTCCGCGCACCGCGTTTACCAGTCGATCTACCGATACGATGCGGAACACATGTTGCTCGCTAGCGCAATTCCTTTGCTCTCGCCATAGACTTTTAAATATTACAGTGAATATTGATTGTGCTTTTTCTAGACTATAGTTTTATTATTAACGCTTTATCTTGGCTTGTGTATCTTCTGCTTGTTTGTGCTAAATTGTATATCTCCTGCTTGTGTATTAAATTAAACATTTTAACTGTCAGTGTTGTGGACTTATTTGTATAGACTACTTATCTCGCTAAATTGGTGACCCGAGCTGAATACGTATTTAATACTGTAATGGCCAAACAACGCGAGCACAGCGGTGAGCACATGTCTGTCGGGCCTTCCGACATTTGCAAAGTTGGGGTTCGTGTTCCGCCATTTTGGCCAGAAGAACCGGAGATTTGGTTTGCTCAGGTAGAAGGACAATTTGCAATTACTGGTATAACTAATGATTCAGTTATTGGTCAATTAGAACATCAGGTATCTAAGGAAATAAAAGACATTATAGTGAACCCTCCTGCCAGTGATAAATACGAGAAGCTTAAGTCAGAGCTTATTAAAAGACTAAGTGCATCTCATGAGAGGAAGGTTAAGCAATTGCTCATGCATGAAGAGCTCGGTGACAGAAAACCGTCACAATTTCTCCGGCACCTGCAAAGTCTAGCGGGTCCTAACGTTCCGGATGAGTTCGTGAGGACAATTTGGACGAGTAGACTGCTAGCAAACATCCAGACAGTTCTGGCAGCACAGCCGACCGCCTCGCTCGAGATATTAGCAGATTTAGCGGACAGAATCCAGGACATTGCTATATCGTTGCCTCAAGTAGCTACCACCAGTTACTGTGCACCTCCAACTCCTGGGTCCACGATGGATTCGATGGCCAAAGAAATTGCAGAATTAAGAAAGCAAGTGGAAAACCTAACGACAAGCCTTCATCGGAGATCTCGCTCTCGCACGAAATATCATGAGCGTCGCAGACGTTCATTATCGACCCGATCAGCTTCTTCCTATCGAAGGCATCCTAAATGTTGGTTCCATGCAAAATTTGGTGTCAACGCCAAAAGGTGTGTTCGCCCATGTGATTTCCAGGCGGAAAACATGAAGGGCAGTCGTTAATGGCGACTGATGATTGCCCAAGTTCTATAGGTCGTCTCTATGTCACTGACCGAAGATCGAAAATGCAGTTCCTGGTCGACACGGGTAGCGACCTCTGTGTTTTCCCTCGTGCATGGCTTCCTGAGTGACGTACGAAGACCACCTACGAACTCTGCGCAGCCAATGGGAGTGTTATCAACACGTATGGTTATGTACACCTTACTCTTGATCTTGGCCTTCGTAGAGACTTTAAATGGCGTTTTGTAGTTGCCGATATAACAAAAGCTATTATTGGTGTAGACTTTCTTTCTTTTTATAATTTAATTATAGATTGTCGTAATCACCGCCTTGTAGATAATACCACAACTGTTTATGTCAATGCTGTGTATGTTAAAAATTTATATCCTGTTTCGTCCATTAAGGTTGCGACTGGTGACACGAGGTACCATAATATTCTAGCCGATTTTCCAGAAATAACACGTCCGGCTGGGATGCAACGTAACATTCCACATAACACCGTACATCAAATTCGCACTACACCAGGTCCTCCTATTTCATGCTCCCCCAGGCGTCTTGCCCCTGATAAATTTTAAAAATCGCGAAACAGGAATTCGAGTCAAAGCTTGCTAGCGGTATCGTCAGACCATCAGAGAGTTCATGGGCCTCTCCCTTACATTTGGTTCCCAAAAAAGAGAATGGCTGGCGACCCTGTGGCGATTACAGGTTGCTTAATGCTAGGACAATTCCTGATAGATATCCGATAAGGCATATCCATGACTTCACTCACAGCATCGCTGAATGTAACATATTTACTACCTTAGATCTTGTTAAAGCCTATAATCAAATACCTGTCAGCGAATTAGATATACCGAAAACCGCGATTACCACACCATTTGGTTTATACGAATTTAAGTATATGAATTACGGTTTGCGTAATGGAAGTCAAACCTTCCAAAGGTTCGTGGATGAGGTCACGCGTGGTTTAGATTTTTGTTACTGTTACCTAGATGACTTTTTAATATTCTCGAGGAGCGAGTCAGAGTACGAGGAGCATTTACGCCAGATATTTAACCGACTGAAGGAGTACGGGATGTTGATCAACACCTCGAAATGTGTTTTCGGTGCGTCTGAAGTAACATTTTTGGGTTATAAAATTTCCGCCAATGGTATTAAGCCTCTCCAGGAGAAAGTTCAGGCGATTAAGGACTTTCCTTCGCCCAAAAACGTTCGACAGCTCAGAAGATTTCTGGGCATGATAAATTTCTACCGGCGATTTTTGCCTAATGCTGCGCGCATTCAAGCTCCCTTAAATGCATTACTTGCAGGAGCCACAAAAGGTTCACAACCAATTAATTTAACAGGAGACGCTAGTAAAGCTTTTAACGATTGTAAGCTAAGCCTATCTGAAGCAGCTTTACTAGCTCACCCTGCTACACATTCCAAGCTCGCTCTTGTTACTGATGCCTCAGATATAGCTTTGGGTGCGGTATTGCAGCGGTATAAAGACGGCACATGGCAACCGCTTGCGTTTTTCTCACGCAAAATGAGTTCTGCGCAGCAAAAATATTCGCCATATGATAGAGAGCTTCTCGACATCTATGAGGCCATTAAGTATTTTCGGCATATGTTAGAGGCGAGACATTTTATTGTCTATACTGACCACAAGCCAATCAGTTTTGCTTTCCGCGAGAGGAAAGGCAACTGTTCGCCTAGGCAGTATAGACATCTAGACTACATTTCGCAGTTCACAACCGACATAAGGCATATATCTGGTAAAGACAATGTTGTTGCCGATGCCTTATCTCGAGTTGAGGAACTGCAAGCGCCCGTCAATCTCAGTACATTGGCCGAAGCTCAAGCATCAGATCTCGAACTGGCTGAACTTCTCAAAGGTGGATCATCCCTTCGGTTAGAGAAGTATGACATTCCTGGGAGTAAAACATGTATGTACTGCGACGTCAGTACACTGACTCCCAGACCATTTGTCCCTAAAGTGCTGCGCAAACAAGTTTTCGAAAGTCTGCGTTCTTTGAGCCATCCAGGCGCGAACGCTACAGCAAAACTAGTTGCAGAGCGTTTTGTGTGGCCTAGCATCAGGAAAGACTGCAGAGAGTGGTCACGTGCCTGCTTGGCTTGCCAACGTGCCAAGGTGACGCGACACGTATCTGCGCCTTTAGGCACGTATAACTTACCGCGTGCAAGGTTCAAGCACGTCCACATCGATCTTGTGGGACCTCTGCCACCATCGCAAGGCTTTCGATACTGCCTCACTGCAGTTGATCGCTTTACACGATGGCCAGAGGTCGTACCGATCGTAGACATAACTGCGGAAACCGTTGCCAAAGCCCTGCTGTCCGGATGGATAGCCAGGTATGGCTGTCCTGTAGACATTGTTACAGATCGCGGTCGACAGTTCGAATCCGCTTTGTTTCAATATTTGTCGAAGATAAATGGGTTCCAGCATAAAAGAGCAACAGCTTACCATCCGGCATGCAACGGTTTAATAGAGCGTTTCCACAGGCAGCTCAAGGCAGCGATCAAGTGCCATGCAGATGAGCATTGGACTGAATCTTTACCTTTAGTTCTCCTTGGCATTCGTAGTGCATTTAAGGAAGACTTGCAGTCTTCGTCTGCCGAACTCGTGTATGGAGAACCACTTAGGCTACCTGGTGCATTTTTGGACCCCACTATAAATGTTACGTCGGATATAACCGATTTTACAGCCAGGTTGCATAATTTTGTTAAACATTTGCAACCTGTCCCAGCTTCACGCCACACAAAAGAAAAAACTTTTGTATACAAGGATCTCGCAACTACTGAACACGTCTTCTTAAGAGAAGACGCTTCGCGTACGAGTTTGCAACCTGCGTACTCAGGTCCACACAAGGTACTCTCCAGAGGAGATAAGGTTTTTAAGCTCCTGGTCAAAGGAAAAGAGATGAATGTCTCAATCGACAGACTTAAACCGGCTTATATTTTAGCTGACGGTAGCAGGTTCAGTCCAATACAGGCCGCTTCCTCAGAGAATATTAAAGGTTCCCATCCGGGTCCAATTACAAGGTCTGGACGCCGTGTTAGATTCCCGGACTATTATCGACCATAAGATGGCCTTTGGGGGGGAGTGAATGTAGGCTACTTTCCTACATTATATACACACGCATATAACTACACAGATACATACGCACATATTTTTCACACTCAACATAATATATATACTTTTACACGCCACTATATACTCTCAACAAAAATGCACGTAGCAATAGCCGGGCGTTGAACGCGCCGCCCGGAATCCCGTTAGCACAGCTGTTTAAAAACAATCGCCTGTGTCCGCGCACCGCGTTCACCAGTCGATCTACCGATACGACGCGGAACGCATGTTGCTCGCTAGCGCAATTCCTTTGTTCTCGCCATAGACTTTTAAATATTACAGTGAATATTGATTGTGCTTTTTCTAGACTATAGTTTTATTATTAACGCTTTATCTTGGCTTATGTATCTTCTGCTTGTTTGTGCTAAATTGTATATCTCCTGCTTGTGTATTAAATTAAACATTTTAACTATCAGTGTTGTGGACTTATTTGTATAGACTACTTATCTCACTAAACCATAATCCATAATGCTATAAAACATTACTAATATTCCCTTTAACCACTTCTGGTAAGCTTAAAGTATTTGTGTTAGAAGTGGTTCACGATAGTAGTCCTGCCATTAGGCTATTGACGCTTCATTACTTTAAGTATTTACAATATTCAATTACAGATTGGTCCATACTCACTACGCAGACACATAAGTGAGTATATACATATGTTTCTTCATCACCCCGCAGAAGTATTTTTGGTGGGCGAATTAACGATCGCATTAACCAGATACGCTCGCACCATTGACGCTTCTCCCTGCTTCCAGACACCGTGCCGGTCTGGTTATTTTATGTTTGGCGTAAGGCAAATGGTCATACTGACACCTATACGGGATGAAAATAATGATTATTTAAGATTTTATTACGCCGCAAATAATTTTAACCTTTAACAAAAAGTAAAAATTCACTTCAAATTGCTGAAATAGAAGTTATTTATTTGCTACCTTATGGAGGGAATTATTTTCTGCCACCCTTCAAATATAACCTATTTAATAAAAAAGATCATCAAAATTGGTTCACAATCTGCGAAGATACCTCGTGAAGATACCGTGTGACACACATACAAAAAAAATATGGACTCGAATTGAGAACCTTCTCCTTTTTGAAGTCTGCTAAAAACATTGCCGTACATTTAGTGTCACAGTTATTGATTCGAAGAGTCAGGATGCCAGAAAATTACAGACTGTGACTGAAATAAATTTTTGTCTTCAGACGTGAGTTTAGCACAGGACACCTGCAATGGTGACAGAGTGTTACGTATGTTGTGTATATATTTTAGCAATTATTTGTGATAATTTTTTTTATAAAGTATATTAGTGTTTCTGATTCGGTATCAGTGTAGGGTCAGTAGGTCTGACATCCATCATTGAAGTTTTATAGCAAAACAAAAGCGTTAAGTCAATCTTTATTATTTATACTCGTATCATGTTTTATACCTCATTATTTATATTCCAGTAATTTGTCTAGTTGTAACAGAGATAGTAACGTTCAAACTTTTAAACATAATTCTCCAGAAAAAATAACTGTCCTTTTAAATCGCTATACATATGTGCCCCATTTTTTCTTTAGATAGTGTTAAACCCAATGATTTCTTATATGTACGCCAACACTGCACATTGAATAAAACTATTTTTACGGATATTATTACGTTTAATTTGCTTTTCTTAATTCCTGACGTTTCGGGTGCTTTATAGCAACCCATGGTTAACTGAGATGTTTGATGTCAGTTCGTTTTTGAATATTATTTTTTTATTGTTTCGATCTACGCAGAACGAGCTTACAGTATCTTGAAGTCTTGCAGTGGTGTGTTTGGGTTTAGATTTAATTTTGTTAATTATAGTAGTACCTCGGCATACCTGCCTTCAGCCTCGATCAACTCGTCCGTGAGCGAAAAGAACTGCTCATAGTCCGCGAAGCAGGAGTCCAGGACTCCCTTCTCCACATCCGAATCCTCGAGCTCAGCGTAAGCCTCCACCACTGCGGCCCTTCGAGCATCCACCTGCTCGAACCGCTTCATCAAGTTATGGACCCTATCCGGTCGACCTATCAAAGCATGGGCGCTTGTGGCCCAGTGTAACTCCGTCCGCAGGCAACGAATTAGTAGGTTGGGCGATGACATCACTACTAAATACAAATTACGACGCGGCTCGAGCACCAATTGCAAAGATAACAAATAAAAAATACAACAAAAAATTAACAGTTAATAAATGCAGTTCCTATCAAATCGCGTTGAATAGAAATTACACAAATACGAATTACTACGTATCAACCAAATACAAGTTAGCACAAAAGAAAAGACACAAATCAAATTAACAAATAACAAATACTAGTGCGATCAAATCAAGTTAAATGGCGCAAATACAAATTACTACTCTTTAGTTCAAATACAAATTACAATACAAACGAAGATACATATCACGGTCGATCAACAAAAAATGCCTAGCTCGGAAATCGACCCTTCGATAAGTAATCCACTACAACTATCCGACAACGATAATTAACCGATTACGTAAAAATAACCATGTACCTACATGACGTATATCTCTAGAAAAACTCCCGCTTCCGCAACCTAGGGCGCGGCTTTTCAATCAACCCACTAACCAAAAAAAAAAGGCAAGCAACAAAGCAACAAAGGAAAATAATTTTATTATTACGTACAAACACATATTTTTACGTATTACGGACGGGCGTGATTGTAGATACACATTAAACCAATCAAACCAACGCTCCCTGAATTGCCACCAGAATTGTTTAACTTTTATCAAACACTATGATCGGGATCGACCGGGGAATCGAACCCGGAACCACGCTCTGCTACCAGTTTGTTACGGCCTACGGCTGCTCCCTTAAAGGTCAAATCCTCAGGGGCCCATTCAGCTGAGTTTCGACGAGCAGACGTAGGTCGGGCCTCCTCCAGGCCAAAGTGGAAAATCTCTAATTAAACTAAACAATATGGGGGAGCATTCTATACTACGGCCAGTCGACCGGGAGGATATTAGACGGAGCTTACTTACCTACATCCAAGGCGACTGATCCCTTCGGAGTCGGTCAGGTCGCATGTGGTTGTGTAGTGCAAGGGAAATAATGTGATGTGATGTGTATCTGGGTGTGACTGATGGTGATTGACCCTAGACCTTGGCCGTCGGCAGCAGCCCGGGCGTCGACACTGCTCCAAATTGAGGGAACCTTCCGCGGCGTTGTTCACAGTCACTTTCCTCGTTCGTCACGATGACAGTCAATTAACTCTATCGTACGATTAACTAACATACAGAAGCCACTAACTCTCGTTGGGTATAAGGTTAACGGACAAAACGCACACGGAGTGTCCGGATCAAAGGTCACTACCGTTTCGCGTAGCAACAGTTATTTCTAGAATATCAACGGCCGCACTAGCCGAATGCACTTATGCAGATTCTGAGTCAGACACAATGAGTCACTGGGAAGCTCTCCAGCAGGAATGCGCGTCACAAATCCTAGACCGTATATTTACTGGCCGCGCCTAATTATTCCGAGTTCCCGACAAAAAATTACAGCGTGCTATCCCAAGCACAGCTGAGAGACGACTGACTTGCACTCGCGTGCACTAGACACATCCAACTGTCAAACCGGTATGGCACCGAGCCGCGCGCCCCCTAGACGTCGATTCAAACAACAGCGTTTGGCGCGAACAATAACCATATAGTTATAACCATATGCTAGCGTTTTTAGAGCCACTATAACCATATGTTTATAGGGGCACTAAAAACGAAATTATCGAAAATTGATAAAACCATAATATTTCAAATGTTCGGTACGTAATGTAAAAATACCATCAGAATTGAGATATTTGAGAGAGGAAATTGGAATTATTGTCTCCGTTACCTAGCTGGTTGTTATATTTTTTGTCATTTTTGGCGCTAGTGTGCGAGCTCAGCAAAGTTTACGTTCTTGGTGGGAAAGCTTGATTAATACTACAATTAAATGCAATAGTACTTATTCTGCCTTACGTTGATTTGGCGGAATGGATTTTGATTAAACTTGGCATTAAAATATTTTAGTTACACAGTAGAATGAAGAACATTTTATAATGCTAGTAAGCTAACCAAATATATGCATGGGCGTGCATGTCCCTCACGGTGTGTGTATGTGTGTGGGTGTGCGTGCATGTGGGCGTGTACATGTTTGCGTATCTATACTAATATAATAAAGCGGTGCCTGCACTGCCGTGTAGTGGCGGTTAAGCATAGCCACTACCCAATATCTTCCCATGAGTGTCGCAAAAGGCGACAAAAGGAAACAGGCAGGAGATGAGCAGCAGCATCTTCCTGATAACAGCAAAAGTACAATAAAAAGAAACTGCGGTTGCCAACCCGCTCGCCAAGCGTGGGAACTATGGCAAATACCCCCCAATTATTGGAGCAACAAAGAGACGGCCCCCAGTCCCCAGCAGCCCCGCTATTCCTGGCTACGATGGCAACCTTGGTAACGGCGGGGCAGGGGGTACGAATCTCCGGTGGAAGTTCGGTTGCCACCTAAGACGACTCGACCTGGCCCCATACAACGCACGCACCCTGAGGACTGACGAGAAGATCGTGTAGCTGGAAGAAGAGATAGACAAGTTACGCTGGCATATTATAGGATTATCCGAGGTCCGAAAAGAGGGGGAGGACACGGTAAACCTCGAAAAATAAATCTGGCAACTTGTTCTTTCACCCTGAGGGCGACCATCTGTCCCAACGAGGTGTCGGATTTATCGTCCACAAGTCTCTCGTTAACAACGTTGTAAAGATTGAGAATGTATCGACGAGGGTTGAGTACTTTATACTCAAAATAACCAAAAGGTATTCGATTAATGTCATACAGGTTTACGCACCAAACTCGGCACATCCGATGAGGAGGTGGAGGAAATATATGAGGATATCTCTAGAGAGCCATGCATTCCTCCAAAAGCCACTATACAGTGTTAAGGGAAGACTTCAATGCAAAAT